AAAGTTTAAAATCGGAACCCTATTGCTGTCACTCTTTCGTCTATCTGTCCGGATGTCACGGGTCTCTAGATAGTAAACGGAATAAGTATCAGAACAGAACTAAAATTTTGGATTTCGTAAGTTAGTACTGACACAATCAAGTACATCCGGAATTGATTTATTTTTTTGTTATGAATAAACATTAGTTGTGTAAAAAAAAAGAAGATTATAGCGGGTGCCTGGGCTACCACCTTATAGAAGATCACACTAAAATAACACTATACCTTATGGTGGTGTTGTGTTTCTGTCGGTGAGTGTCGCCGCACACGGGCCACCACACCACAAAACGCCGCCACCTGCATATTTCTTGTAGTTTTCATACATATTATATGGACTCGCCACACACGGTACGCCGATGGCCGCCACACGCTACAAATCGTCGTTGCTCGCTTCTTGTGGGCCGCACCGGCCACTTAATGCGCCGATACAAAACGCCGCGCCGCCACACGTCACTCGCGCGATTCGCCATTCGCCAAGGGAGAGAACCCTTACCTTAGACGGGAGCTGTCGCGCGCTTCAGCCACTTTAGTAGCCGCTTCTAGCCTCTCGTGGCGGCGTTTGTAGCTGTGGCGTGTAGCCCGTGTGCGGCGACACTAAGGTTTCAGGGCTCCACGGGGAAGGGGATTGTGTCAGGGTAGTCAACAGCGCGAGTGATATTTTTTGTATCGCAAGCGTCTATACGCTATGGTGGCCTCTTAACATCAGGCCATATTGTTCTTTGCCACGCATTTAACACAATAAATACTGTCTGTATCCTACTAATATAATAAATGTGAAAGTTTGTACGGCTGTCACTCAATAACGCAAAAACTACTGAACGGATTTGGTTGAAATTTGGTACGCATATATTTATTACCATGCGACTTATTATATATAAAATTCATCAATTTTGAAGTTTTTTAAAATTGGTAAATGAGCTTTTTGGTAGCAAGATATGTTTACGTATGGGTAGTGTAAAGCCCATTTTATAACTTACTGACCCGGCGATCTTTGTGTTGCCTATACAATAGATGAATGTGATTAATTTGAGGCAAAACTTAATAGTGAGTCAAACTTAAAAGATATACAAGTGCCAGACTTTTCATAGAACTTTTTTATTGAAAAGGGAAACAATTCTGGCATACATGTTTTTTGTGCAACTTTAACGCAGCACACGCAACGGAAGCTCACAAATGGAATATTATTTCCCGTTTTCGCAACATCTTTCATCGATGCTCCGCTCCTACTGAATGTAGCGTGATGTTATATAGTCTATCATCGCCTTGCTCAATGAATGTGCTATCCAACACAAAAATAATTTTAAACTTTAGATTTTGGCGTTTGAAGAAGAAGACCTATAACAAGCTTATTACTCCGCTAGTATTGGATCTAGTGAAATTTTTAATTCAATCTTTTGTTTCTTTTTTGTAAAATATGTGCTTTCAAAGTTATTTATGCACGTGTATGTAGAAAATTTGACTTTTCTGTTCTCGAATAATACGAAAAGTATTGACTTTCAGAAAAAACTTTAAAGGACAAAGGTTGCTTAGAATTAGCCTACTCCGTGACCGAGTGGTTTATACGCCGGGTTTTATGGTGTCGCTGACTCGAGAGGGTTCGAATCCTGGTGGGGGCAGATGTTTATGTGATGAATACGAGCATTTGTACTCCAGCAATGAAGGTTTAATATGTATTTCTATATAAATACACTTATATATGTATACAATATATGTATTCTATCCGTTACCCTAGTATCCTTTACAGTGCTTACTTTGGGGCTAGGCTAATTGATGTGAGTGTTGGAAATATTAATTATTATCTATTTCCATACTTGTTAAAATAGCAACCCTCGACACATTAACAACTTTGAAGTAGAGGGTAAGTAGAACCCAAATGCATTTTTTTTTTAATTAAAAAGTGTTGATTATTTTACGTTTTTAGGTGACCCTGACCCCCTCCTCACCACCCTCGAAATGAAAATGGACCTCGGAAATTTAGGATTCAGGAATTATTTATTTTTTAGGTGATCCTTCCCCAGGACAAAATCCTTACTTTGTTAGACAAGCTGCGTGCAGAGCAGGGCATTCCCTGGAATGCCATATAAATACATTCAGCTACGCGTACCGGAGTTGCTATTAATGTGGATAACACGTTCCAGGACACGTTTAGGTATGCGATACTACAGATATGTTGTCTTTTTACCCGACTGTGCAATGCAAGAGCGCGAAGCGCGATGCGCAGACAGGCTATAGTGTTTAACAGTCTACATAATGTAGATATGTTCCTAGAGACCAAACGCGTGGACCGATTTTGATGATTCATACGTCAATCGATTCATCTTAATCATGGGAGTGTTACTATAGATACGAAAGTAATTGAAATCCAATATGGGGACATTTCAGGCGCTATATTGTGAGAAAGAAAGAAAAAATACTTTGACGAAATATGTCGAATGGGTATCATTGTCTAGATAATCGAAAATTATGTTTAGATTCCTTACACCATTTTTCATTTTATATGACTGTCTACAATGATTAAAAAAAAATGAACTACTTGCACTTTTAATTTCAATCCTACGTTTGTATGGATCATTGTTACTTTCAGTTTTTATTCGAAGTAATATTAAAGTTCAGATACGTATCAAATCTAGCGGTTAAAAGATAATAAAAGTAACGACAATACCTAATGTCTTTATTTTAGTAGTCGTGAACAAACTTTTGGATCGCATCTAAAGTTGAGGAAAATTATATCAGAAGTGTTGAATATGATATTATTGCAGCAGATTATGCTTGCATTGGTAATAGGTTCAGTGATTTAAATGAATATTTATTGGAGTAATTAATTTTAAACTAGTCGCATGCAGTTCCGAGCTGTTAATTTAGATCTCGACTCGGATATATTTAGATCTGTTGTAAATACTTGTTGCTCTTGGAATTGTCGTGTATTCAGGAAGGAAGGATATTTATAAAATATAGATAGAAAACATTTAGAAGGATAAACGCAGGGCCCGATCTAGAAATTTTGCTGCTCCGGGCATAGTTTTTTGCCGCCCTTTTATGACGTACTTTACGGCTGACCCTAAGTCAATTTTGCTGCCCCTAATGTTTGCCGCTCCTCTTGGGTCGGGTCCTGGATAAACATATAGTCATTATTGGCAAAAGAAACCTGCACATTATGTGAAAATTTCAGCTTTCTACCTATTATTAATATGTAACCCGCTGACCGAAGGACGGATAGACAAGAATAGGTTTAGCAATAAATAGGGTTTCATTAGGGGCTTATCGCCTGTCAAAATGTCAATAACGTCATGGGGCGATAGTCGGAAGATAATTATTAAAAGACGTCAATATGAGGTAAATGCCTTTAATGCACTGTCACATGATGATCAATATTGTACAATTTCGTTGTCACCCTTCGGGTACGGAACACTAAATATGAAGGGTCGTTTATTTATTTGGTAGTTGCAGTTAACTCATAATTTATGCTAATCAGCACCAACAGGTTTCAGTGGCTGCCAGACATGGTCATTGTCAACAACTTTATCTACGCAGAAGATGGTGTCGGCCTCTCGCCGGATGTAAAATTCGATGACCACTTTATTTATACTGTAGTTGTAATGTTATGCAGTTTTTTTCGCATGTGACCTGACACCCGTTTGTTTGTACATGCCGACGATGTTTGGAACAGCTGTGATATTTGCATTGCACAAGGATGCTGGCGTGTTGTATCGGAAAAAACAAGTTTATTTTTTATTTTTTTGTTATGTTTTCTAATATTATTGAATATACTAAAACTGCATAACCTTCACATTTATGTATTACCAAAGGAATAGGTAAAGTGACACTATTGTGAAACAAAGACGTTACCATAACCAGCAGAGCCCGTGATAAGTTATTGTTAGGAAAGGAAGTTTTTTAATTCAACGCTTCATAGTTTCAAGAGTATTTTTGTTATAGGTAATGTAACTTATGTCCTTCTTGAAGTTTGAAATCAGTTAAAAATTGTGTCAGCCTCCACTCCTGTAGAATACGGGGACACTCAGTCCAATTCTACTATAATTTGATGTAAATTTAATGTTTTTCTGTTATATTTCTCGAGATAAATATAAAAATCTGGCAGTTGCAGTCAATTCGTTATAATATACATAAAATTGTGGGCTAATTGGGCAAATTCTATTTCGTTGCGTTCCTAATTTTGTTCAAAGGACAAAGTTCAAGTAAGAATAAGAGTAGGTATTTTTTTTTTGAAAAATCCCCAAGTGTAACCCAGAATTGCGTTGGTATTCTTGTATTAAAATCTTAACATTCCACCTGCAATTTTACCAGTGAAAATTCGGAATGGCCGGCTAGTATAAAATAAATATAATAAAGAGTTGTTAAAGGTGGGAATGTGATTATGTGTGACTGCGAATTTCAGAGTCAAGGGTTCAAACGATACATTAGAAAAAAACTGCTTAAAGCATCCTGAAAGGTCAGTTTTACTTGTATTTAGGTTTGTAGAGTTAACGTTTGTTAACAGGATAATAACAATAACTTCGAACATGACGAAATTCTATTGTAATTGATGTGACAACTGATTCTTTTCCTTAGCTCGTGAGGAAACCAAACAGTAATACACAATTTCTTGGTATTTCCTTTGGATAGTGCAGTCTTTGGCATCGATTCAGTGAGTACCTAGTTACTAAACAACCTTGTTTACAACATCAACAGTGAATCTAAATCAATGAAAAAAGGTTTAGAATGAACTAGTAACGCCATCTTTGAAAAGTTTGCGGCTTTATTATACTTACTGAACTAACCTCAATGCTTTTTAAGTTATTTAGTTATGCTACTACGTTCTTTTGGAAATACATGGTATTAACAGTTTGCCGAAAACTTAAGTATTAAAAAAATCTACAGCAATGAATTTAATAATTCAATCATACATTGATAAGTATGTTTAAGATGAAAACTTACCTTTACTTAATGATTCCTAGTATTGTTGGCAGATGGTGGTATCAACATCGATAAAGCAGTTTAAGGCTTTCGAGGAGTTGTTTTATACGTAAATAAAACAATACAAGATATTTTTTTCATTTATAATAAAGTACCTTTGAAAATATACCGCAGGTAATTTTTATTGAAAGTATTATTTGGAGTTAAGACAAAAAGTGAAAAGAGGTTGCGTATGAGGATTAAAATGGCGGCGGGCTGTGTCGGTAAAGCAGAGTGTGCGATCCAAGCGGGGCGACACGCAAGCGCTTCGGGCCGCGGGCACAGGTAGGTTAAGATTCACGGTCCGCCGCACTTGATGCTCCTGTGCACACTCGGCGACGACGCGACGACGCGGCGCCTGCACAGCCAGCATCCGACACCGCCACGCGCCATGCACGAGGATCTGTTCGGTGATACAGTGAAGTGATCATCATTGTGATTGTTCGTTTGATAAGTGCCAGTGTGTGGTGATATGACGAGGACGAGCGGCGCTTGATCCGGCCACACGCGAGAGGATCTTAACGGTAAATCTACACAGACTTGACACCGTGACCCGTTGTGTTTACCGACCGCTCAGGTGATCCGGATCTCTCTCATCATCATGAGCCGGGAGAAGGAGATTAAGTATTTCCCTAATTGGCGAAATCGCACGCGCGTTATTGTTTTACACTTGTGCACACAGCGACTCAGATTCCTTCCACGTCGTCGCCTCTTGCGGTGTTTATTCGTGAATTATGACACCGATAACTGATGCGTCTGAGCTCGCACTCGCATAGTTTGCTCTGATGAAAGTCGGTGTTAATTTTGACGGTTCAGCTAAAATTTTATGGAATTAGGTGCCAGTTTTTACCGTTTCAGAAGAAAGTTTCCGAGATCTTTAAAGTAGGCTCTTTGCGTTCTGAAATCCGTTAAATCGTTAAAGATTCTTATTGAAGTTACAATTAATTGATCGTTTAAAATCCGAATTACCGTCCGTGATATTTACTATGTTATTCGAGTCAGTAACAAGTTTTTTATCAGCTGAACGGTTCTATTGGTTGGATCAGCTGTTTTGAATTATAGAAAAGGGGTTAGGCTGACAGCGTTTCAACGGCTATTGTGTCCTACGGCCTTATTCGGGGTCATTTAAACATAATTTTGAGTCTAGCATCTTGCGTTTTCGGTCATTCATCTCCATAGACAAGTAGGCTGAACATAACTCCTTTGCTCTATGAACGGTGGGTCACGTGACGATGACGTAATTTTCCCGCCACTCTCGTTCACCAGGTCGAGCTTTGCAGAAATTTGCACTCACATTGGCGTCCTGTTTTCGGAGCAGACATAATTGGGCAGCGGCGAGAGAATATAATGCAAAATATAAAAGATAAATCTTTGCACCTTTGTTTAAAAAAGATACCCCCTTCGAATGAATTTTTATTTGACAAAGAAGAGTTTAGTAATTTTATTAAGAATAATGGGGGTGTCTCTAAAGTTTTCAATACACACAAACCATTTTTGACAACTAAATCTTCTAGGACTCAGGCAAACTTTCCTAGTTCTAGTATAACACAGCCGGCCAGTCGCGCCCCTGCACTGACGGCTTTTCGATTTCCGCCACCTCAGGGTGTGGGATCATATTATAATAACTACCCCCACAGTAAATATTCCCAAAAACTTTTTCGACCACACAAGTCACAAACGGCAGGTCCCCGTTTTTCTCAGTCAAATGTGGCTCGGCGAAACGAGTCTCAAAACAATCTGCCACGAGGCAAGATCCCTGGCAAGCAACATAAACAATACTGACTCGAACAGTTTATTCCAGGGGGGTTGTTTACAAAATTATATAACGGAGTGGGAGAAAAGGGGGGCAACGCCCACCTTACTAAAAATTATAAAAGGTTATCGACTCCCTTTCCGGAAACCACCGCCCCTGGTGTTTCCAAACAGCAAGCAGAGATGCAACATCACACGTCCATCTCCAGAGATGGATGTGGTGATCCAAAATTTAATAAATCGCAAAATTCTAGAGTATGCTCCCTGGACTCCAAGCTTCATCTCAAATTATTTTCTAATTCCGAAAAACGACGGTACCTTGCGACCTATATTCAACCTAAAAGCGTTGAACAATTACCTAAAAATAACCAAATTTCGTTTGATTTCGGTAAATCGTATACCAGGGTTTTTGCAGACAGGAGATTGGATGATCAAAATCGACCTCCAACAAGCTTATCATCACGTGAATATTGCGCCAGCACATCGATGTTACTTACGCCTCATTTATCGAGGCCAGCTCCTGCAAATGACGTGTTTACCATTTGGTCTGGCGACAGCTCCAAAAGTTTTCGCTTCGCTGACAAATTGGACAGCAGAGGTGTTCAGGGAACTAGGGATTCGAGTAGTTGTTTTTCTGGACGATTATTTACTTGTGTTTCAGGACCGGGACGTGCTGATAAAGCACAGGAATATCGTAATACAGATTCTAGAACAATTGGGTTGGCAGGTCAACAAAGAAAAATCCATTTTAGAGCCAAGAAAGATTATAGAATATCTAGGTTTGATTTGGGATCCCTGGAACAACCGCAAGTTCTTGCCAGAGAACAAGATTACGAGTCTACGAAGGATGCTATCGGGATTTCTACAGCGGAAGAAGGCATCACTGCGGGAGGTTCAAAGCATCATCGGCGTTTTGAATTTCGCACGACTGGTTGTACCAACGGGTCGATTAAATTTTCGTCATCTCTTGGCTCACAGCAATTGTCTGTTGAAACTACCGGTTCAGGGTACTTACCCCTTGCCCACACAGGTTTTGGAAGAAATGCAGTGGTGGAAGGAGCATTGTGTGGAAAGAGCCAGACTTCACCCACCGTTAGCAAAGAGTTTTTTGGTTACAGATGCGGCAGATACCGGTTGGGGTGCGGAGCTGAATGGGATTCACCTGAGAGGAACCTGGTCAGAAGAAGAAGAGCGTTATCATTCGAATCACAAAGAAATGCTGGCCATTTTCAAATGTCTTACAGAATTCGCTCCCTCTCTGAATCGTACCTCACTTTTGATTCAATGCGACAACAAAGCTGTTGTGGCTTACCTCAGAAACGAAGGCGGGAACAAGTCCAAAATTCTTTTAGGACTTGTTTTCAAGATATTTCATGTGTTACAAAAACACGACATTCACATAAGCCCCTATCATATTCCAGGTCGTTACAACAACGTGTCGGACAGTCTATCACGTCAGAGGTCGATGATATCGGAATGGCACCTGCTTTCAGAAGGAACGAAGGTAGTATTTGCGAAGTGGGGGGTTCCACAAGTCGATCTATTTGCGTCCATCACGGCACACGTGGTGCCTCAATATGTGACATTGGATCAAAAAGATCGCCAAGCTTGGAGGCACAATGCGTTCGCGATTCAGTGGGATTTCAAGCTGGCGTGGGTGTTTCCTCCACCGAGCTTAATGCCCCAAGTTCTTATGCATCTGAATTATGCACAAGGCATATATCTGATAGTGGCACCCAGATGGAAACAGGCGTTCTGGAGGGCAGACTTGAAGGCGCGGGCAATCGCACCACCCTTCACAATTCACCGACTGGAGAGAGTTTTAATAGACACGGCGTCGGGTCTACCTCCACCACGGGTAGGGGATTTGGTTCTGGAGGTTTGGAGATGTGGGGGTGGTCTCAATCGTTAGGTGATTGGTCAGAGGAGCAAAAACGTCTTCTTCAGGGTAGCTGGAGATCCTCCACTATTAATACCTATAAACCAGCGTGGTTGAGGTGGTTAAAGTGGTGTTCAGAGCATGGTGTAAATTTTTCAGATCCAACGGGTAGTGATTTAGCTAGATTTTTAGCTGATTTACATCTTAAAGAAGGTTTGTCTTATCGGACTATTTTGTTACATAAATCGGTAGTATCTACTCTTTGCAATGCAAATAGTGAAGTTCGATTGAGTTCAAACCAACTTGTTAAACAAATGCTTAAATCTATTTCTTTACTTAAGCCAAAAAGTCATCCAGGGTCGATTTGGGACCCTAACTCATTGGTGGTGTGGTTAGATAAACGAACTCTTGAAAATCCCACCTTATATGAAGTATCTCGAATAAGTGCGGTTATTTTATTACTATGCTCGGGACGTAGGGTGCATGACTTGACACTGTTGAGCGTCGCTACAGATAGAATTATAATTGAAGAGGATTCTATAGTGTTTTGGCCTCATTTTGGTTCTAAAACTGATTCTGCAACCCATATCCAATCGGGATGGAGATTATTAAGAAATTCTCAAAGTGCTGTTTTAGATCCAATACGTTGGCTTAAAAAGCTGGTTGACCTAGGTTCGGCTCGCAGGTTACTTTGTTCCAGTGATCGTTTATTTGTCACAGTCACAGGAAAAGCGAAACCAGCTACAAGAACAATTATTGCTGGTTGGATTAAAACGGTTTTAAAAGAAGCTGGAATAGATGCAACTCCAGGTAGTTTTCGTTCTGCTGTCGCGTCTAGTAGTTGGTTAGACAATGACCCGCTTGAAGACATAATGGCCAGAGCAAACTGGAGGTCGGGTAATACTTTTAAAAATCATTACAGAAAGGAAATTTTACGCCCACAAGGGAATTCTTTAGTTCATCTCTTTCAGCCTTTAGGTAAACAATGAATTTCATAAAAATATGGAAAGAAGGTACATTATGAAGATATGTTTTAGTGAGATTAAAATAAAATTTGATTTAGCTGGTTGATATTAAAGAAATATAGTTAACTTTCATAGCATGACTCCTTTTAACACAACACATTGGCGTCCTGGTTCACCAGGCGATAACAAACAATGCCTCAAAATTATGTTTAAATGACCCCGAATAAGGCCGTAGGACACAATAGCTGCGTTTTACTTACCACTAAAACGCATGTTGTGTCCGGAGACTTATTCGGGGTCATCACTTTTAGTGCTGCCTGGTGTCTTTGATTTTAGAATTTTAGAATTTTGAGGTCACAATGAGTGCAAATTTCTGCAAAGCTCGACCTGGTGAACGAGAGTGGCGGGAAAATTACGTCATCGTCACGTGACCCACCGTTCATAGAGCAAAGGAGTTATGTTCAGCCTACTTGTCTATGGAGATGAATGACCGAAAACGCAAGATGCTAGACTCAAAATTATGTTTAAATGACCCCGAATAAGTCTCCGGACACAACATGCGTTTTAGTGGTAAGTAAAACGCAGCTATTCTTCTCGCAAACAATAGCGTGTCAAATTCCCATAGAAAGTTGTAAATATTAGCCTGCACGGACGGAACCCCATTGCTTATTTATCTGTAGAATAAGTAGTATTCGTGTTATTATTATGAAGCTGCTTCTTTGGTTGCTTTAAATGCACGAATATCTAACGTCGGTTTTATGATCGGACTATAGATGTAAAAATTTACACAGGTAATAACATTATGTTTTGTAAAAGTTATTTTTTGTAATATATAAAGTCGGCGCGCTTTACCAACCTTAAAAATTAAGTTGCAATTAAGTGGTTGCATACAACTTTCTTTTTTATAAGGAAAAAATGCTGCAGCTGA